AATTCCAGACCTGAATTTGAAGAGATGTGTTCTTTTTGAGACAAAAGGTCGTGTCATCGTCATAAACCAAAAATTTTCACTTTAGAAGTTTAAGAGTATTACAATATATTAATCGTTATGGTTATTTATATCATATATGTTTTCTAATCCACTTTTCAAAGTTTTCAAGATGCTGCCATATTGAAACACAAAATAAAAACTTGATTGGCAGAATGTGCACTCAATGTATAAAACTAAAAACGAATACAACACTCACAGGTATTAAAATGAATAATGGTTCGGGTGGCAAGGAGCATCCGACGCCAGCCTTTCCATTGTGCAGAGAACGTTTACAAAGATAAACATGTTTTTGTATAATCTAACTTGGTGAATTCACTGACAAATTCAATATATTTTTATAAGTCTGTATGGGATACTAAGATACAATGGGCTGTCCTGCGTTGATGTTACCGCCGCTGTTACACATCCATTCACGACGTTCTTAGAGATTACGGTTTAAGAACATGTGCACCGCTGTTGAATTGATATATAAAACTGTGATTCCTTTGTTACCATATAAGGATTAGTTAATGTGTATTTATATAAGAGAATATACTTAGTGATCTGCCATCTACCTTCGCCTTAACAGACAGAGCACATCGCAAGGAAGCAAAGTAATACCGAACAGGTACGTAATGTTTGAAACACATTCGGGGGAATTCTGTATGCCACTTACTGGGAATTGTCTGAACCTAACTTCTTTCACATGAGCCACGTATTCAAACAAGCAATGTGGATAACTCTGATAAACTTACCTGCTTATATCCCCACATTGTTCCACAGAAAAATTATTCGATCACTTGTCAGATAAGGAAAAATATATATTTTAAATATGTGGTCTGTCTAATTATAGTGTGTCACTGCGTGTGTTAAAAACTACCACGACGTAGTGTAATTTCACACAAATGTATGTATTTAGCCTACTTCTAGTTGTGTTACAAAAATATTTAATTTTATTTGAGGTTGACAATGTATCATGTAAGTTGAATACAAGTAATGAAGTATAATAATGTGATTTCATGGATCAACCATTTAGACGTTTTTAGAACCGGTTCTTATTGTTCAAGAGTGCCTTAAAGACTCGAGAATACATCTTTTATTGTATTTTTGTTTTTAAATTGTATGCTGTATGTGATGCACATACTTTTAAGCTGCAAAAAAGTATATGTCTATATTAGAAATATTTCCGTACAGCTCTTTATTCATCAGTTTTTACTAGACATTGAAAACATTAATTCAATAGGTGCGAGGTGTTTAAAAATGGTGTATGGCAATACTGGTACAACGATTGATTATGCAACTTAGGAAATATTTCTGTTTATTTTTGAACACTCAAAATAAAAATTCAATGGCTTCAATTATTTGATTGTTTCAAAATTGTTCAATATCCATCACAGTGTGTACTTCTATATTTTCAAATATTTAAGCAAAACAAGAGAAATAAAAGTGAAAAAAGGAAACTTACGCAACATAGTATCAACATTGAAATTTTGATTGATTTTTATGTCACAACAACGGCGAATACAAACTTACCCTGCCACCGTTTTTATGTTTTTAGTGATCATATTTTTGCGTAAGAATCGGCTAAATTGTGTTCATGTGCCGATCAGCTTAAAAGCGTGGTTTATAAGTGAATATCATTCTTAAACGCGAATATACTATGTACGTATTACTAGCTGGTCGAACTGTGGAGCTTTAAGTGACTGCCTCGTAACCTGACTCTGAGCCTTTGATTTTCATGCATGGACTGTTCTCGTGTTCAATAGAAATCTTATCTCTTTAGTCGACGACTCGTCAAATATACGAAATATGTTTATGTGTGACCTAGCTAGATATTTGTTATCACTGGACTCGTTAAAAATTCCATTACGATGTTTTTCAATGTTGTTTAAACCAAAGACATTAGAAAGAGATGTTTTCTATTGTCTTTGTTTAAACATCTGGTTATATTTTGTGCACTTCTAGTTGACGTCCACGGTCGATCGAAAACGTGTGAAAAAAGACGACTAGTTGTGGAGTTAGACACGCCTAGCAGGGTAAACTACCGTACCACATTTTGAAAGTTCGTTTATAACTTTGTATTCATTTTCAACCGGACATTCCATCGATTTTCGACTATCGACGTGCGGACAATTAAACGCTTTTCCGTTGTTCAGAATTACTATACAAAACATTATAACCAGTATTGATAACAAAATCAAAATTTGTTTGACGAGAAATAAAAAAAAAATCAGTGTGCTTCTGAACCGAATTACCAGTAGATATACGTAAAGGTAAATCCGCAGCGCATGCGCACATTTTGCTTTACACAATATTACCGAACAAACATTGCTATATTTGCTAGCAAAACAACAATTTTATTTCACAATAACTTAAACTCTATTATTAACATTAAATTGCGTTCGCTCGCAGCTCTTTAGCAAGAGCTAGCAATCATAAACAAAAAAAGACGTATTTTAAGACCCTGTCCAGATCCATAGCCCGGGCTAATGTAATGTGACCGAACGCTTAGCTCGGGATAAGCGCCCGAAACGCCATTACATCAAATTTTCACTTGAAAGAGGTACTGTTAATTTCATTTCAGTATGCCATTTCCGAACGAGAATCAACGCAAGCGCATTAAGGACTTTGTTCTCCAGAAAAAAAAAAATGAACTGACGATGAGACTCTCTGCTATAACCACATTGCCTTTTGAATTCTGAAAATTCGGTACAGAAAGAATGATTGAATAAAAAGGTTCAACAAAGGCGCTGGGCGTTAGATAATACACCGATTATATTGTCGGACGATTCTTAAAATATAAATAATTTTTGTCATACATATTAAATATTTCGTGTTACGAGGATCACAAAATAAAATAACATTGGAGAAAATGTATGTCTGAATGCAGAGAAAATAGCACGTTTTTTATCATTGTTTCCTATGGAAAAGATATATTTCATAAGGCTGCACAATGTGAAAGAATGATGCTATTTTGTATGAGTCTAGGTATAGACGTATGTCGACGACGTCCGCGTATTATAAGCTTGAACACTGGGCGATTTGCAGCGGCGTGCACAATTACGCTTATAATTTGAAAAAAAACGAATATCACTAAACAGTAACAGCAGTATGTATAAAGAACAAAACGCAGACATAGCGTCTTACAACATATGAACCTCAATCATTTTGAAACATATATATATATAAATAAAAGAAACGCTTACTATGTTTTACTACTTGTACCTTTAGGTGAATCCGAGACACGTGCTAAATGTGTATGAAAAAACATATAGTATTTTTTTTTATCAGGACAAAATATCAAACATTGTCATTAAAACATGCTCAACAAATGGCGTGGGCGGTGGTTAAGCGATTCGCTAGAAAAATAATTTCCCAAGAATGGTTTGGTTTGAGAAAAGCGTACAAGCGGTTTCCACAACATGGTACAATTTATGATTGGCAGAAGTCAATTCGAACGAAACGCGACCAGTTGAGTGACAGTTCGCTATGTTTTGTGCCATTATGTGATGCCTTACGATAACTGTTTGTGATCGTTGTAGTTAAGTTGTTCATCGAATAATACGTGCACCTACGGAACACTACGAAGTTGTTCCGTGTATTGTTTGATTAATCTGTGTAGTAGACAATCCGTTGGAGAATAAGGGGTAAATAATATCAGATTACGTCACATGGCAATTCTACATAATTCTATCAATAAAGGTGGAATGTATATAAACAAGTATTATGCATGAGATTAAAATATATAGCACCGCTAATTCTGGGACACATGTGTCGTGGATTATATTGAATGCTACCGTTTTATTTGTATAGTTAATCGCGCAAACATGGCAACCAGCTGCAGTTGCGATTAACACAAACGACAAATGGACGGAAACAGGAAATAAGTGAGAGCGTAGCCTGAACAAACTTCCCGATGTTTCGTGATGATTTAAAGCGGGAGGCTCGTCACCTGCGCACGCGCGGGAATTGAGTCTCAAGCGATGATAACAACGCACGCTAAAACGCAAAGGCTCATTGGTAGACGCTTGTTTGAAAACAGTGACAAGCTATGGCCATCTGACGCATGCGCAGGTGACGACTCACCCGCTTTGAGTACGAGGCTAGGTCAACATCATTTTCCTATCAACAAATAGTTCTCTATTTTCTATCACCTGTTGACACTGGCCACACAGAACCACATCTGTATGCTTTGCAACTTCACTGCTGAAAATGACGGCACAACCTCACGAAAGATAGAATGTGGTACAGCGCGGGAAAGGAGTAAAATGAGGAAGATGTGTGCAGAGTATAACAACATCTTCCATCCCAACTACGTTATTTTATTGAGATTTTCGGTGATTTGTTGTGAATCCAAAAGAAATGTATCGCTTGAACATAATTCGTTAGAATTATTTTAAAGGGCGGCAGTCGTCGTACTGCGTCCTGTTCAATATGGGACTCATAGCGACGTATACAACGCGTGTAAAATACATTGTTTATTTACATGAAATTCGAACACGCGCTGCGCGACGACCACCGCGCTTTAACGCCACAACAATTATGAATACGCTTGTCGCTGTTTTAGCTACTCATTTTTTTATTCCATTGGAACGTTCTCACGTGAAATTAAAAGCATGACGTAATGTTTAGTGAAATAGAGTAAGAGTTCATTGTAATAACAGCACAGGCAAAAAAGAAATCGTACTATATGTGCACCGTTTAATTGCGCTCCTCAAGCAATGACAAGCACATGTGCCGCCACGAGAGGAGTTGGCGCCTGTAAAATATACTAGTTTGTTTTTATTCTGAATGACGAACGCATTAACAACAAATGTTTATTTCAACAACATTCTCACATCTACGTCATTCTGTCATCATAGAAGCTTGTTAAAAGGCGCGCTACTTAAATAAAGGCGTGATTTGTTTATTTTACCTTACACTACGCACTAAACACAGACTATTCACTTTTTGTATTGTAGGATGCTGCAGTTTACATGTATATTTGCGGTGGTTTGCTGTGTAGTTCAGGTATGGATTGTATAAATAACTTCACTTACAATATGTATGAATGATAGCATGACGAACTGAAAACTGGGTGGAGTAGACGCGCTGACGTGACGCGCTGCAGTATAAGTGGTGTGGATAGCGCGACGAATTGCTAGCTATGTGACGCAATGCAAGCCCGTGGATTGGATTGCGTGCGCATTGCTTGTTGTAGAACATGTTAAGAGGGAGCATGCCTCCGGACCCCCTAGTATGGTCGCGCATTCGGCGCAAGTTTGGTGAGAAGATCACGGGGTCTCGTAAACTTGTTATGTCAAAGTTACCCGCAGTAACATCCACCGAGCCCATACAGTGAAAATTGGTTTCACTGATGTTAGGCCTCAGAAACTTTGAAATTAAGTGATCTTGTGAATCTAGTCAGCCGACAGTTTTGAAAAGAACGCAAAAAAATTACGTGTTCCATTCCCGTCGACAACTGTCTTCAACTAACATTATTTCTTTTTTATTTGCCTGTTATTTATTCCCATAGATCAAGGCAAATCTTCAAGGACCATGTAAAGGTAAGAAGAAGAGCCAGACGACAGTTCCGGACGTTGAGGGCCACTGTTTTTCCTTCAGACCAAAAGAAATATTTCACATAGTCAGTGCCAGTATGGCAGTGAAAAAGAAACAGTTGTCATTGTCGCATTAAAAGTTAAAGAGGAAAACTTTAGTGCTATTCTAAAATACTCTTGAACGGCTTATTTATTTATTTATTTATTTATTTATTTATTTATTTATTTATTTATTTATTTATTTATTTATTTATTTATTTTATTTTTCATCAGCATTTCAAGCGAAGGCCGTTAATACATTACAAAGTAATATTATTGCATTATTTTAGGCAATTGGAGTATTAAATATGATAACCAGCATGTTGAAAAACGCTGGAAAATACCGCATTATTTTTGGACATAAAAAACCATTTTGTTCTTCAGGTAAATGGGAAGGAAAAATCGATAATGCTTTCATCGAGAATGAGATAGGATTCGAGACGGAGGGCAGTGTGTTTATGAAGAATGACAAACCGGAAGGCGGAGTTCTTATTGGTCGTAATCTTGACTTGGATAATACAGATGAACAGTTCTTTCTGGACTTAAATGTTCCACAGCATATAATTGATAAATTGAGTCCTTATTTTGGACTTAAGGTAAAACGTTGCATCAATTGTGTGCTTGGCAAAATCATTGTAAATAGTGTTGCTGTTGTCATTATCGTGTGTAAAATCCATAAGTCATATGTAATAGGTGATTTTCCGTACAACTGCGAGATCTCGCGAGATGCATGAAAGACGCGCGTCGAACGTCTGCCGCAAAATTCGAACGATTTGATTTTGAACTCGAATTTATTTATTTCGTAGCGCACATCGACTGGCCGATCTTTGACAGAGGAATATTGCATTCGAATATCCTCACTTAATCGAAATTGCTCATCATCAAATGTGTACAGCACATTATTGACAAGGAAATGTTCCCCAAAATACTTTCGCGTTTGTCGAATCTCACGCGATGTTTGACGCCACTACGACGCTATGACCTTTGTTTGTCCTGTTTTTACGTTCGATTTCACGCATAACGCGTGATTCTCGCAGTGAACGGAAAATGGTCTATTAATAAACCTCATGTTCAAGAACGTTATGCTGATTAGACAGAATGTGATCACGTGATTACAACGTATTATACACTGGCCAAGTAATCGACAACGCCATTCCGCGACCGCATTGCAGCTGGGGATCCATGATATCGCTGGCCATAATTCCCTAATTGTCAACTCAAAAACCGCCGGCCCGGTCTGAAAGTTTCAGTTGTCAGTGTCAATATATGCTGTAAATTAAAGAATTATTCGGTGATGAAATTATGTTGATTATGCAGCCAGTGTATAAGTAAATAAGATTAGTTCGCTACATCGCTCCATCCCAAGGTATTCCCCACACTTTCCGTTAATTAGTAGTTAAGACCATCTAGTGACGCCGATTTCTTTATTGCGCATGTGCAGTTGTACTATTAAAACGATTTCAC